CAACAACACTTGGGGGGTTGCAAGTGGCATGTTTTCCTTCTGTGTTCCTGACTCCTTAGTCTGGCATTGGTCAGGTGAACCAAATCCATTGCCCCCTGAGAGCTAGGATTTGGAACATTCAGTTCGACAGCCAGGGCTAGGTTTAGGGTTATGGTCCAGGAGATTGGAGGAGTCTATCTGAAGGCATGTGGAGACCTGCCCTGAGGCCTGAGTTGAGGGCGAGCTTTTGAGTGAAGCTCAGGGTTAGTTTTTGTCTCAGGAGCTGAGCCCATTGTGGGGCTGAAGGTCAGGTTTTCGCCAGAATCATGCTACTAGCTCCACCATGGTGGTGGCCCGTGTCATGGCTTGCTTCTGCATTCTTGGGGATTTGTCCTGCATCAGTCTTGTGTCCCTAATCCCGACGTTCCTCAGACTTAGCATTTGGGCCTAGGTAGAACCAGAGCCATGGGTAGGGTTAGGATGAGAACCCGGAAGATGTTAGGCACCTGTCTGGTGGTGGTAAGGAGAAGGGCCCTCAAGGCAGAGTTGAGGGCTAACGTTAGGGACAGCATCTGGCTTCCCATCTGGCCTCAGCAAAATGCTCCATTTTTTCCTTAGGTTTAGGTCTTTACTAGAATCATGGTCTCCAGCAACAACCCTGGGGGTGTCAAGTAGCATGGTTTACTACTCTGTTCTTCCTGATAAACCTGGCATTGCCCAGGAGTGCAAAATCCACTGTAGCCTCATAACTGTGGTTTGGGTCTGGTCAAGGCCACATCCAGGACTAGGGTTTGGGTTACAGTTTTGAAAAGTTTAGGGACCAATTCGATGGCAGTGCAGAGTCCTATCCTCCATGCTGAATGGAGGACTAGCATGAACGTGAGTCTCAAGCTTTGGGTTTGGCCTCAGGGGGATGCCCAGAGTGTTGCTGAATTTCAGGGTTTTGACTCAAATCCTGTTGTCCAGCAACACTTGTCAGTGCAAATAGCATGGTTAACTTCTGTGTTCCTGCCTGATTAATCTGGCACTGGTCAGGTGAGCCAAATCTATTTTACCCTCAGATCTAGGGTTTGGGCTCAGCCAGTTCCACAGTCAGGGCTAGGGTTAGGGTTACAGTCCAGGAGATGGTAGGAGTTAATTTGATGGCAGTGTGGACACCTGCCCTGAGGCCTGAGTTTTCTGCAAGCTTTAGGGTAAAGCTCAGGTTTAGGGTTTGGTCTCAGGGGCTAGGACCATTATGGGGTTGAGCGTAAGGTATTCACCAGAATCATGCAACTAGCTCCATGCTGGTGGGGGCCTGTGGCATGGCTTCCTTCTGCATTCTTGGAGGATCTGTGGTGAGCAATCTTGTGTCCCTAATCCCATTGTTCCTGAGACAGTATTCAGTCCTAGGTAGGGCCTGAGCCATTCCAGGGTTAACATTCTAACACTCTAGGGTTAGAATAAGAATCTGGAAGATGGTAGGCACCTACTCGATTGGGGTGGGGAGAATTGTCCCCAAGACTGAGTTGAGGGACAGCATTAGGGAGAGCAGCTTCTTCCCGTTTAGCCTCAGGGAGATCTTGCATGTATTTCTGAGGTTTAGGGTCTTCACCCTAATCATGGTCTCCATTAACATCCCCGGGGGTGACAAGTCACATGGTGTCCTACTTTGTTCTTCCTGATTAGCCTGGCATTGCCCAAGTGTCCAAAATCCAGTGTAGCATCACAACTAGGGTTCAGGTCTGGTCAGGGTCACATCCAGGGCTAGGGTTTGGGTTATAGTCTTAAAGCATTTAGGGCCCATTTTGATGACAATGCAGAGTCCTATCCTGAAAGCTGAGTGGAGGACTAGCACGAATATGAGGCTCAAGCTCGGGTTTGGTCTCAGGGGGATGCTCACAGTGTTGCTGAGTTTCAGGTTTTTGGCTCGAATTCTGTTGTCCAGCATACTTGGGGGTTGCAAGCAGCACAGTTTTCTTTTGTGTTCCCGACGGATGAGTCTGGTATTTGTCAATTGAACCAAATCCATTGCTCCCTCAGAACTAGGGTTCAGGCACAGTCATTTCCATAGTCAAGGCTAGGGTTAGGGTTACTGTTCAGGAGATGGTTAGGTGTCTATCCAATGGTAGTGTGGAGACCTGCCCTAAGGCTTGAGTTGAGGGTGAGCTTTAGGGGGAAGCTCAGGATTAGGGTTTGGTTTCAGGGTCTTGGCCCATTTTGGGGGGTCCAATGTCAGGTTTTCACCAGAATCATGCTACTAGTTCTTCCCTGGTATTTGCCTATGTTATGTATTTCTTCCATTTTCTTGGAGGATTTGCCCTACACCAGTCTTCTATCCCAACTGTAGTTCCTCAGACTGTGGACTGTAGTTCCCAGACATCTGTGCCCATGTAAGGATATTGCTATTCGTTGGTTTAGGGTGAGAATCTGGGAGATGGTAGGCACCTATCCCATGACAGTGGGGAGATCTGTCCTGAGGGCTCATCTGATGGCTTGCATCATGGTCAGTATCTGGCTTCCAACTTGCCTGAGTGATACGCTCCATGTGTTCCTGATATTTATGATTTTCACTAGATCATGGTCTCCAGGGCTCACTTGGTTGTTCCTGCTTGATTCGCCTGGTATTGGGCAGGTGTCCAAAATCTATTTTACCCTCACAACTACATTTTGGACTTGGCCAGGGCCACATCCAAAGCTAGGGTTCTTGTTATTGTCCTGAAGATCTTTGGGACCAATTTGATGGCAGGGTGGAATCCTGTCCTATGGGCTGAATTGAGGATTAGCATGAGGGTGAGACTCAGGCTGCTGGTTTGTCCTCAAAGGGATGCTCATTTTTTGCTCAGTATCAGGGTTTTCGCTAGAATCATGTGCCCCAGCAACATCCAGGGATTGCAAATGCGTGGTTTCTTTCTGTGTTTCTGCCTGATTAGTCTGGCATATGCCAGGTGTTGCAAATCCATTGTAACTTCAGGCCTAAGATTTGGGTCCTTTCCACCCCAGAGGCCTGGCTACGGTTAGGATGAGAGTCTGGGAGGCAGTTTGGGCCTATCTAATAGCAGTGTGGAGACCTGCCCTGACAGCTAAGTTGAGGACTAGCATGAGGGTGAGGCTCCATCTTCCAGTTTGGCCTCATGGGGATGCTGATGGTGTTGGTAAAGGTTCGATTTTTTATAAAATCCTGCTCTCCCGCTCCTTACCAGGAGTTGCATGTGGCCCAGTTTTCTTTTGTGTTCCTGCCTGAGTAGTCTGACATCTGCCAGGTATCCCGAATCCATTGTGCCCTCAGACCTAGGTTTCAGGTCCTGTCAGGGCCACAACCAGGGCTAGAGTTAGTGTTTTGCTCTGGGAGGCTGTAGGGGCCTATCCGTTGGCAGTGAAGAGACCTGACCTGAGGGCTCAGTTGAGGATGAGCTTTAGGGTGACTCTCAGGGTTAGGGTTCAGTGTCAGGGACTAGGCACATGGTGGGGCTGAGGGTCAGGTTTTTGCTAGAATCATGCTCTCCACCTCCTTCCCAGTGATTGCACAAAGCTCGGTTTCCATCTGTATCTTGACTGATTTTTCCTACACCAGTCTTTTATCCCAAATCCCATCTTCCTCAGACTTAGCATTTGGGCCCAGGTAGTGCCAGAGCCATGCCTAAGGTTAGGTTGAGGGTCCAGGAGATGGTAGGAACTCATGCGATCGCAGTGTGGAGAATGGCCCTGAGGGCTGAGTTGAGGGCTTACATTAGGATGAGTCTCCAACTTCCCCTTTGGCCTCCCAGACATGATGATATTGTTGGAGATAGTTAGGTTTTTTGCTAGAACCATTTTTTCCTGCTCCGTTCTGGAGGTTGCACGTGGCAAGCTTTCCTTCTGTGTTCCTGAGTAGTCTGGCATTGGCCAGGTGTCCCCAAATCCACTGCGCACTCACAGCTATGTTTCCCATCCTTTTAGCTCCACAGACCTTGCCAGGCATAGGAAGAGTGCCTGGGAGATAGTAGGGGCCAATCCGATGGCACTGCATGGGCCTGCCCTAATATATGCATTTATCATTAGCAATAAGGTGATGCTCCGGCTTCTGGTTTGGCCTCAGGGGGATGCTGATGGTGTGCTGAGGGTTAAGATTTCACTCGAATCGTTTCTCTCCCACTCCATTATGGAGGTTGCCTGTGGCATGGTTTCCTTCTGTATTACTGCTTGAGTAGTCTGGCATTGGCCAGGTGTACCAAATTCATTGTGCACTCAGACTTAGAGTTCTGGCTGGGTCAGTGCCACAGCCAGGGTTAGGATTAGTGTTCCAGTCCAGTACATGCTGGGGGTAGATCTGACGGTATTTGGGGAGACTTGCCCTAGGTATTGAGTTGAGGACTAGTTTTAGGGTGAGGCCCCATCCTTTTTTATGGCCTCAAGGGGATGATTATGTTGTGCTGAGGTTTTGGGTTTTTGCTAGAATCATGCTCTCCTGATAAAACCTGGTGACTGCTCATGACTGAGTTTCCTTCTGAATTCTTGCCTGGGTAGTCTGGCATTGGCACGGTGTTGCAAATCCATTGTTCCCTCAGACCTGGGGTTCAGACACATTTAGCCCCAGAGGTCTGACTAGGGTTAGGATGAGTGCCCGGGAGGCCGTTGGGGCCTATCTGATGGCAGTTCAGAGACCTGCCATGAGGGCTGAGTTGAGTACTAGCATTAGGTTGAGGCTCCACCTTCTGCTTTGGCTTCAGGGCAATGCTGATGGTGTTGGTAAGGTGCAATTTTCTCTAAAATCATGGTGTCCTGCTCCATTCTGCAGTTACTTGTGGCACAGTTTCCTTCTGTCTTCCTGCCTGAGTAGTCTGGCATTGGCTAGGTGTCCAAAATCCATTGTTCCCTCAGAACTAGGTTTCAGGTCCTACCAGGGCCACAGACAGAGATAGAACTAGTGTTCTGGTTCAGGAGATGGTACTGGCCTATCTGATGGAAGTCCAGAGACCTGGTGTGAGGGCTGAGTTTTTGGTGAGCATTATGGTGAATGTTCAGGTTTAGTATTTGGTTTCAGGGACTAGGTACATCAGGAGCTGAGGATCAGGTTTTCACTAGAATCATGCTCTCCACCTCCATCCTGCAGGTTGCTCATGGCACAGTTTCCATGTTTCAACTAATGTCTCCTTTCATGAAGATAGAAGCATTTTCAAATGTATGCATGGAAGCATAAGGAAAATGCAATATACTTAACACTACGAAATAACACTGTATGGAAATCATCTTTCAACTATCATCTTCTTTCCTGAGGAAGAAGGGTTTTCAATGTATGTGTGGGGAGGAAATGCATGAGGAGGAGTGCCATATACCTAACTCTAAGAAAGAGCACTGTATAGAAACCATCTTTGAACTATCATCTTCTTTCATGAAGATATGTGTTTTGAAATGCATGTTTGGAAACATAAGAAAAGTGCCATATGCTTGACTCAGTGAATCAAGTCTTGTTTGAAACCATTAGTTGAATATCTTTTTTCACGGAGATAGGAGTATTTAAAAATCTATGCGTGGAAGCATAAGGAAAGTGGCAAGCTCTTAACTCAAAAAAACAAGTCTATGCAGAAACCATCTCACAACTATCATCTTCTTTAATGAGGATAGAAACATTTTCATATGTATGTGTGGAATGTCCCAGCCTTATCTGCTTCTTTTGCACAAAGGAAACTAAGTTATGGTGTGCTACTCCTGCTGAGTTCCTGCCTTATTGGGCCGGAGATGATCTCTTGAGATTGGCCCCTATATCTTGCAAGTTTTGGCCTGAGGTCTCATGAGATATGGCATGAGATCTTTGAGATTTGGCATAAGAGTTTGCAAGAATTGCCTCAAGATTTCATGAGATCTGGAAAGGGAAGTGTTGGCTTGTATTTGTGGGCATGAACACGGGGAGACACACACAGACTGCCCTGAAGTATTTGAAGCCTGGGAGAGAACCCAGGGAGTCTGCCTGTGCATTCAGATGAGCCAGCTCCTGTGCTTGTTGCTTCTTCCTGCACCTATGTCTTCCTGCTTCTATCACCTCTACTTTACTAGGAATAAGGGGCCACAAGGCCCACTCATCTGCAATTCAGTGCTGCCTTGTTACCCCACTTCACCCTGGATGCTGAAAGTGGCCAGACATGAGTAAGACATGTATCAGACAAATATAGACATTTGTAGTGGGGGCATCATTGGGACATCAGGTGTTTCCAAGTGTCCCCAATCCAGTAATGTTCCAGCACTACCAATGTATCCTGTAGGAAGTGGGCTATGCTAAGGTGTCCCCACTCCTGTGGAGTTCCCAGAGGTTTGGGACAGAGATCTCAGGACAGACTGAGATCTCACAAGATTTGTCCACAAGATTATGTGTGATCTGGCAAATGGAAAAGTGGGCTTGTATCTTGGAGGGTGTGAGATACACACAGATTGTCCTAAAGTGTCTGAACACTAGGAGAGCACCAACGGAGACTGCCTGTGTGTTCAGATGAGCCAGGTCCCATAAATGTTGTTTCTTCCTGCACCTACTGTCCTACTGTTCTATCACCTCTACTTTGGTGGGAATAATGGGCCACAAGGACCGTTCATCACTATTTCAGTGCCCTATTGTTATCCCACCCCACCCAGGATACGGAAAGAGGCCAGACATAGGAGTGAGACACCTTGGGACTGTCTGCTGGTGGCATCTGGAGCCTTTGTGAAATAGCAAATACCTCTAGCAGATCCCAAACAGGAATGTTGCAGCTCTGGCCACTGGGCACTGTTGAATTTGGCAAGCTCTGCATTTCCCCCAAATCAGGGTGCCCACAATATTTGGCTAGAGATCTCATGAGATTTGTCCATAGATCTCATGAGATTTGGCCTGAGACCTCCTGAACCATGGGCTGAGATATTGCAAGGTTTGAGCTGAGATCTCACAAGATTTGAATCTAGATTTGAATCTAGACACAAAAGAATGTCCTGAACTGTCAAAAGTTTGGGAAGGCACCCAAGGAGACAGCCTGTGTGTTCAGATGAGCCAGCTCCCATGCACATTACACCTTCCTGCGCCTAGTGCCCTTCTATTCTATCATGCCCACTTTCATGTGGGAGAGGGACCACAAGCCCTATTTACCCCTATTTCAGTGCTCTCTTGTTAGCCTCACATCACCCAGGATATGGTAAGAGGGGAGACATATGACTGAGACACCCTGTGTCTTTATGCTGGGGGCATCTGAGGCTGTTGGTTGAATGACAGATGTTCCCAGGTGTCCCAAACTCAGGCATATCCCAGCCCAACCTACTTAAACTATGCAAGGGAGAGTAGGCTCTGGGGTGCCTACTCCTGCTGAGTTCCTTTGACATTTGCCTTGAGGTGACATGAGAATTGGTCATAGATTTAATGGGATTTGGCCCAAGTACTCATGAGAGTTGTGGCTGAAATCTTGTGACATTTGTGGTGAGATCCTGCAAGATTGGCAAAAAGATTTTGTTAGATCTGGCAATGGAAACAAACGCCTTGTTTTGGGTTGGAGCTAGTCACAAACAGTCACAGACTTTCCTGAAGTGTCCCACAGTAGAGAAAGCACCAAGGAAGCTTGCTTGTATGTTCAGATGAGCCAGCTCCCCTGCTTGTTGCCTCTTCCTGCACCTACGGCCCTCCGGTGTCTATCACCTCTAACATAGTGTCAATAAGGGACCTGGAGAGCCATTCATCCCTCTTTCACGGGTCCATTTTGACCCCCACATCACAATGGCATCTGGGGGCATTTGTAGAATGCCAGGTGTTCCCAGGTATCCCCAATCCAGGAATGTCCCAGCACTACCTATTGTGCTGTGCAGGAGTCAAGGCTAGGGAGTTGCCTCCCCTGCTGGGTCCCCATGAGATTTCTCCCCAGGTCTCAGGAGATTTGGTCTGACCTCTTAGGAGGTTTTGGCAGAGTTCCAAGTACTGGCCTTTGATCTCAAGAGATTTGTCCAGAGATATCATGAGATGTGGTCTGAGCTTTCAGGAGAGGTAGCCTGAAATTCACAAGATTTGCCCCAAGATTACATGGGATCTGGATAAGGTGAGAGGGGGCTTATCTTTTTTTTGTGGGCGTGAGAGACACACACAGACAGCCTAAATGTGTTGAAAGCTGGGGAAAGCCCCCATGAAGGCTGCCTGTGTGCTCAGTTGGACAGCTCCAGGACACGTTGCTTCTTTCCTTCTCCTCCTGCCCCCCATGTAATCTTGGGGCAAATCTTGTGAATTTCAGGCTACCTCTCATGAAACCTTGGACCAAATCTCACAAGATCTCTGGACAAATCTCATGAGATAAAAGGCCACTCTTTGGAAATCTGCGAAAATCCCCAGAGTTGAGGCCCAATCTCTTGAGATCTATGGCCAAATCATGTGAGACCTGGGAAGAAATCTCAATGGAACTTGGCAGGTGTGGGAACTCCCTGGCCTCAACTCCTGTGCAGCATATTAGGTAGCTCTGGGAAATTCCTGGATTGGGGATACCTGGGAACACCTGGCATTCTACAAATACCTCCAGGTGTCATGTGATGTGGGAGTAAAAACAGAGCCCTGAAAGAGGAATGAATGGACCTCCATGTGCCTTATTGGCACTAGGTTAGAGGTGATAGACACAGGAGGGACTTATGTGCAGGAAGAGGCAACAAGTATGGGAGCGGGTTTATCTGAACACACAAGGAAGTCTCCTGGGGTGCTTTCAGAGGCTTTTGACAATCCAAGACAGTGCTTAAGACTTGCCCCTGCGGAAATAAGCCACTTCTTCCTTTGCCACATCCCTCATGATCTTGGGGCAAATCTCTCATGATCTCAGTCCAAATCTTGGGAGATCTCACCCAAATCTCATGAGATCTCAGGCTCAGTCAGTGAGATCTAGGGCCAAAACTTGTGAGATCTCTGGCCAAAGCTCCTGGGCCCTCAGGAAGCCTTGGCACTCCCTAGCAGTCTCCTTTGTGCTGTTTAACTGGATAGAGATGGGACATTCCAGGATTGGGCACAACTGCTAATATTTGCAGTTTCACAATGTTCCCAGATGTGACCTGCATGAAGACACAAGAGGTCTCACTCCTATATCCCCGGTGTTTCAGCATCCTGTGTGAAGTGGGGGTAACAAGGTAACACTGTTTTTCAGGATGATTGGGCCCTGTGGCCTCTTCTTCACACTAAATTGGTGGTGATAGAAAGCCTGGGAAAGCCCCCAGGGATGCTCCTTGGGTGCTTAGATGTCCAGCTCTGGGGTTCATTGCTTCTTCCTTTTCCTCCTTCCCTCCTGTTTCTATCATCTCCAGTTTAGTGTGAATAAGAGGCCACAGAGGCCATTCATCCTGAAAACAGTACTAAGTTGTTACCCCCACTTCACCCAGGATGCTGAAACACCAGGGATATAGGACTGAGACTTCTAGTGTTTTCATGCAGGTTGCTTCTGGGAGCATTTGTGAAACTTCAAATATTGGCAGTTGTGCCCAATTCTGGAATGTGCCAAGAGATTTTGGCAGATTTCCAAAGAGTCACCTTTAATCTCATGAGATTTCTCCAGAAATCTCATGATATTTGGTCCTAGGTTTCACAACAGGTAGCCTGAGATTTGGCGAGATTTGCACCAAAATTACATGAGATCTGGCTAAGGTAAGAGGTGGCCTATCTTTTTTTGGTGGTTTGGGGGCATGGGGGCAAGGGAGGGGGGGTGGACAAACACACACAGACAGCCTTAATATGTTGAAAGCCTGGGAAAGCCCCCAGGAAACCTGCCTGTGTGCTCAGTTGCCCAGTTCTGGGACACATTGCTTCTTCCTTCTCCTCTTGCCCTCCTTTTTCTATCACCTCCAGCTAGTGTAAAGAAGAGACCACATGACCCATTCATCTTGAAAACAGTGCTACCTTGTTACCCCCACTTCACACGGAATGCTGAAACACCAGGGATATAGAAGTGAGACCCTTTGTGTCTTCATGCAGGTCACTTCCAGGAGCATTTTTGAAACTGCAAATATTGGCACTAGTGCCCAATCCTGGAATGTGCCATCTCTACCCACTTAACCAGCACAACTGAGGCTCAGCTGGGGAATGCCAGGTCCCCCTGAGGGC